ACCGCCTTGTGACCAGCACCACCCACTCACCCACTTAGCCACTTCAGTGGCACTTGTCGCCGCTTTGCCAGCCATTGTCGTTCCACTTTAGAATTATTTGCACAAAATCTTTCAGCGGCTGCAAGGACTTCTCGCTCCTGTGCTCCTTCAGCTTCCGCCGACCAACTTGCTTCATAATTGTCCTTCCTTTTTCGAGGGGGTGGTGGGTGTGGATTTGGGTGGCTGAGTGGGTGGTTCGTGGGCGGCGGTGCTGGTGTCGTTGCTTAGCGGTCTTGCAACTTGAACGCCTCTCGTTGCCTCTAACTACGGGGGAAATAAAAATATGTAATACACTGTAAAGTTCTTAAATCAAATTCAATTATTATAAACATTTTTTTTGCTAAAAGTCTTTGAATTTTAATTTTTATATGTTTTTATCTGAAAATGAACTATAGTATGGAAATGCATTTAATATGGAAAAACATAGGATATTCTTTTTTTTAAATTAGATCGGACTTAAATCATATTATTTGAAAGATTTTAATTTTAAATTAAAATTTCTTTTACAAGCAATTTCAGTATATCGTAATATTATTGACCATCTTTTATATATAAACAAATCTTGACCAATGTTGACAATTTGTTTTCTGTGCAAAAAGGAAGAAAACCAAGGAAAATGGAAGTAGAAAGTAAAAAATCGTTATTTTCCTGCAGTTTTTGTTGCTATTCTTTATTTCTTTCTCAGTTCTCATTATTATTTACCCTCTTCGGTGACGCCGCTGGGCATTTTTGGTTTATCGTTTTAATTGGCTTGGTTTCTTTGGCAGGAGCGGCGGTTGCAGGGGGGCGTTGAGGGCATGGACTGGGCGAAAGGGTGTCATCGATAAGCTCCACGTGTGTGTCAGAGTGTTCGGCTAATGATAAGCACACAGAACTTATTCAAACTGGCGACACTGCCACACATGCGAAAATCTACTAATTGGGGGCAAATTAGTTACGAAAAGAAATCAGAGGACTGGGTTATTTCCACCGCCTTTAAGAGTGTTCAACCAATAACAAACAAACATTGAGAGCTTAGTTTTTGAAGTTCTTCTTACAAAAATCCGATTGCAAAGTGTCATTGTTCTAAATACTTGTGGTTTAATTCTTTAAGCATCTGCGTTCAAATCTTGGTTTTTGTTTTTGGGTTCATTTTTCGGGATTTTTTCGAAAATAAAATTGAAAAAATAATTTTTGGAATTAGTTCGTTTAATCGCATGAGCCTCCTACAACCGCTTCTCAATCACACACATACACATATATTCCGGAATTAGAAATTAGATAATTTATTAAGTGAAATAATTCATAGTAATATAATGTACATACCTTGAGAGATCCTTTGTCCTGCATCCTGGTGTCCAATCTAAGTCAGATGGTATTACCAATAATCATCTGGATCCTCTCAAGAAACACACACTCAACTTCCGATCATCTGAGTAAACTGAGTTATGGGCTGCCACAACCCCTAGGTCGTAATTTTTTGGCTAGAACTGGTTGGGAACTATAATTTGCAGCGGGAGTAACCATTAACTATGACGATGACTTGGCCAATTGCACATTTGGTTAACATTACATTAGCATTACTTTAGTATTAGATTAGAATTGCATGGATGCTATCTAACATTACATGGATGTTATCTAACACTTACCAAGTATTATGTTTGAATGTTAATTGTAGATTATTGATTGTTGATTGTTGACTTTTGATTGCTGATCGTTGATCTTTTATTGTTGGTTGTGGATCGTTTATTGTTGATTGTTTGCTGATGGTTGTCGAGAGTTGATTGTTAATTGTTGATTGTTGATCGTTTATTGTAGATTGTTGCTTGTCGGTTGTTAAGAGTTGCATGTTAACTGTCAATTGATGATGGTTCATTGTTGAATGTTGCATGTTGCATTTGGCATGTTTCATGTTGCATATTGCATGTTGAGTGTTGAATGTTGCATGTTGCATGTTGCATGTTGCATGTTGCATGTTGCATGTTGCATGTTGCATGTTGCATGTTGCATGTTGCATGTTGCATGTTGCATGTTGCATGTTGCATGTTGCATGTTGCATGTTAAAATTTGCAATTTGCATGTTTCATGTTTCATGTTGCATATTTCTGGTTGGTTCTGGTCCCCGCCTTTTTTCTCATTATTTTTGTCTAAGAGAAAAATTCCATTAAAATGCATACAAATCTGAAAATAAAAAATTTAATATTATTATCGCAAATCATGTTTAAAATGGTTTAATTCAGCCTGTCCTAATTCCGATTGTAGTTATCCTATTTTCCAAGATTTTCCAAGATCAAAGGTTCCTCATCTCCGGGTCACAGCTTTCTTCCTTTCATTTTCTTATCTGAAGAGTCTAATATATATATGTATAAGTATTTTTTATTTAAATTCAGAATGTGAACGGATTTATTTTTAAAAAAAGCTGAAGAAGATATGTAATGGCTTGAATCATAAAAAATATATTTTTGTATTATTTGTATTTATATAATAATAGTATACTCATGCGTTGATCGACTTATATTTATTTTTGATGTTGTTCTAAGTGATGCCAATTAGTTAGATTGATATGCTCGTGGACCATGTTTTCCCGGTGACTTTTTGCCCTGTTTTCCACCATTTTTCCGTGGCCCCAACGGGATTTTTCCGCCGAATCGAATCCGCTGGCTGGCGAATTTGCGAGCGGCTTGGTAATCGAAATCCGCTCATTGGCTGCATTGACTCAAGCGGAACGCGTAGTTTTGGTTGGCTATCAAAGTGTGTGTTTGTGTCTGTGTGGTTGCAATAGTGGTTGTGGTTGTTCCACTGCCTCTGTGTGTGTGTGTGCGTGTGAGTGTGAGGAGCAGCCCTGCCCAATACAGATTCCTGATTAGAGGAGTTTTGATATAGTAATCGACCGCAGCGTGTAATAATTCCTGTGGTTTCATAATGCCCAACCACACACACACACAAAGATCCCTGGTGGTGCGCAACCGCTGACACCAACACCAACACCAACACCAATACCAGTACATATACACCATGCACCACCCCTTAACCCATGAGCCACACTTAACCCCCTTTCGAAGAAACCGCAAAACGACGGAGGGTTGCAAAGGCCTACGAAATAATGCGAAAAACCAAAAAATAACCAACGAAAAAAAAAAAAACCTAAGGAAGTATTTAGCACCGCCCTGTAGGGAATTTTTTTTTTCTGTTTTTTCAATGGGCGGGCGGTTGTGTGCCCCATGTGGTTGCGATTTTTCACTCATTCCTTGGGTTTTCTTGGCCGCAAATGGCAGCCGCAAGATATCGGCCCTCTCGCTCGCTCCCCCCATTGCCCATCTCTTTCCCGCACGCTGTAGCCATCTCTTTCGCGCTGGCTTACCAATTCCTGGTTTGCCACAAAGCCGCGTCTCCAACGCTTTGCTTTTGCTTTTCCCTTACTCTTATTTTTTGTTTTTGTTTTTTTTTTATTTTGTGTTTTGAGATGAGATTTTTCTTTTTGAGTCCTTTCCAAGACAAAATTCTTTTGGGGGTTGAAGCAAAACAAAAAAAAAACGTATAAAAATGTAAGGAAATGGCAAGGAAAGCCTGGGAAAAAACTCAAGAAGTTCGTCCGTCTCTTTCTGGCCCCCTGTTCACCTCTCACTCTGGCCTGGCGTTTTTTTCCAGAGTGCGCCAAAAAATTGAGCGCAATTTTTCTAAGACTCGTGGTGGGTTGCCCTTTTTCAACAGGGGAGGGGAGGGGGGTTGGGAGGTGTGTAAGTAAGTGGTGAGGTGGGTGGTGGGTAATGGGTGGTGCTACGGCGGCTCTGGCCAACTTGAAGACGTCGTTGCGGCCTTTCTGCTTGTGGTGTAGTTGACGTTTTCTGGTTTCGGTTTTCGGTTTTCGGTTTACGTTGCCCTTTGCCCCTCCCTCTGCCGGCGTCGACGTCAACGTCGACTGCGCTGTCGAACAACAACCGCTGCTACTGGTTCTCGCGGTAATTGTTAAGCCAAAAAGAAGGAGAGGTGGAATCCAAGCATCCAGGACAACAACAACAGCCAGAGCTGTGGAAAAAATGCCAAGAAAACGCCACAGTACAACCTCGGTAAGCCGAACTTTAAGTCATAGCCATCTGAGTCGCATCAATGATCGTTTAGTGTAAATGTGTTAAAAATTAACCTACAGTTTAATTGCTTTTTAAAAGATCTATTAGAGATTAAAAGTCTAGGGGATTACTCTAATCTGGCAGCTTTTAATTTTCCATTAACCCACATAATATGTATAGCTTTGGAATTTCCGATGTTTATAGCTTAAATTATATAATTATAAATTATATAAACTAAAGCCAGCTTGAAGGATCAAAGATGTGAAAAATATGGTAAAAATTCGACAGATCCGTTGGTCCTTCGAGCCGGATTTGGTGTACTCAATTATACATTATTTATGACATTTTCGTGTTAAAAAATAAGTAAAATGGAAACCTATTCTTTTTGTTTATAAGTATAAAGTAATAATGTTGTTATTTTTTTGTGGAAATTACCACCCCTCCACTGGAACCGTATTACCCATTCAGTTTGCGGAGTTTTAACTGTATATACCCCCTGCAGTTGAGCAAGAAGTCGACATAGACGTTCCCCTGGGGGGCGGGGTGATGTCGCAACAGGACGAAGGGGGCTGTTCCTGGGGGGTGGTGGGTGTTTTGCGGGAGGTGGTGCTGCTTCTTTTGGCCTGTGATTATGATGAGGCGTCGCCTGCGCTCCTTCGTCCTTCACATCCTTCGCATCCTTCGCATCCTCCGGCGACTTCGTGAGCGCTGCGTGAGACTTCGTTACTTTTGGATGCTGGATACGTTCGTTCTATTCCAAATCGTGGGGCCCTCTGCGGGCGTCGCTGTCGCGGTCGACGTCGCTGTCGCGGTCGACGTCGCTGCCGGCGTCGGTGGTCGACGTTGCCAACCGCTCGTAGTGGTCGCGTTCATGGTTACCGCAAAAAAATAGTTTAATATCTCCGTGTCGTTTGATTCGATCGCCAGTCTCAGCCCCCATATATGTGTCTGTGTCTGTGTCTCTGAGTCCCTGCAACTGAATCTGCATCTGTATCTGTATCTGTGCGTGTGTGCGTGTGTGTGCCGGTGGCTTAACAAAATTACCACAATTAGCAAGCCCAAAATCGAGAAAAGTCTAGCCGAAATTTAATAATTTTTTTGAAGTGCTTGTGGTGTAATAATAACAAAAATAAAGGCAAATAAAAATCTACATAAAACCATAAAACTCATATTTTTGGTGCTGGGAGAAACAGTAAACACAATTTATAACAGCAAAAGAATAAGTAAGTTGGATTTAAATGAAAAAGATCGTCCATAAATAATAGCAAAAGTGATCTTGTAGCATACAAATTTTATAAGAAAACAAAAACTTAAAAATACACGGGATCATCATCGGAAATAAAAGAACTCAATGATCAGCAGCTTAAAACAAATAACTGTATTTTTAATATCAATATGCTGATATATACTAAGAAACTATTGATTTAATTTATTATGATTATTTCGTTAATTTAAAGTTGGAGATCAATTTTAAATGTGGTTATAGTGTTTAGCCTATTCAAAATACCTTATATAATAATAAAGTATAAAATATAATGTGACATCCATACAAACTTTTATTTAAAATTTGATAATTTGCTAATATTTTCTCTGATTTTTTTTAAAGGAATTTATACTGCTTTTGAAGTAAAATGATATCAAACAAACAAATACAAAAATACATATTGTTCGATAATATAAATTGTAAATGTTGACTGTTTTAATGCCAATCAAATATTTTTATTTAGTATTGTTTTTCTTATCTACGATATATTTTGTTTTGAATCAAATGTTCGTCATTTAATCGAGAGTGTTAATCATAATTTGAAAGTCAATTGTTTTGATTTTCTAAGTCCCACAATTCCGCATAAATACCTATTTTTCCCACGGGTTAATTTACATTTGTTGGTCTAATTGTGTGGCTAGCCTCGTCACCGACTTGTTTGTTAACCAATTATATAGACCGACTTCGGCGGACCCATCCCCCCTCCCCCCATACCCCGTACCCCATCCCCCCCTTTCCCCCCATCTGTGGCCACATATGTCGCCACATAGTCGCTTGGCCAGCTCATTTGGCCGGACATCTGCATTCTGCAGCGGGCAAAAAATGTATATTAATAAATATAAACTCACACGTACATATATGCATTCACTTCAGAGCGGAAGTTGTAAAAAACGCGTATACGCAGCGTATATATGTATGTACAGATATATATCTTTTGGTCTGCTTGTGTTTGTGCACCACTTGCTACTACAATACAAAACAAGAAGGAAATTCTAGGGGCTCTAATGAGCCGATGCTTTAAACACTCTTTTTACTTCTTTTCTTACAATTATTTTTATAAACTAATTCATATATTTTAACCCACACTTGCTATTTAAAATAAAGTCGTGTAATAATGTGTTTCTTTATATTTAAATTTTCTTTGTGTAGAATTCAAATGTTGTATAAGCTTACTGTTTATTTCCATTCATATTTCTTAAACACACCAGTATTTAACTTTTTCTTTTTGTCATTTAATTTCCTGCACAACTAATTTTTGAGTTCGATATTTTTGAAAAATACAATTACCTTATCTGTTCACACAGTTTTAGTATATTAATAATTTCTAAAAAATTTCAGAATTTGCAAGTATTTTACTAATTAAATTATTTTTATTATCGTTTTTATTAGGTTATTGAACGACATCACAAAGCCTTAGATTCCTTAAATAACAATCATTTATTTCGTATCGTCAGTAAACAAGCAATAAATTCGGTAATTGATATAACTTTGATGCCTGAAAAACTGACAGTTAAAAGTATTCTGAAAATAGTTGAGAAAAAAGAAATAACGTCAGAGTGAAAACAAAACGCGGCTGTGTCCGGCAACTGGTTTTTATTTAAACAAAAGCGACTGGCTGGGCATTGTTGATTTTTTGGTGGCCAAACACAAGCCGGCAACATCTGGCGCTTTCGATAATTTTTTCCCCATTTTTTCACCATTTTTTCCGCACATTATACTGCCATTTGATGGACATGAAATGGATTTTTCCGGCCGCACACAGATGCAGTCGTACTTCTTAGTTTGTCCCCAGCCTACGGCTCGAAATTCCTCATTATTGGTTATGATTTTTTAATATTTAATTGAGCTGCACTCGCCGACGCCGGCTTAAATGCAAATTGTGCGCAAAGGTGTGCGGTTCGGTGCAATTCGATTCGCTTGGATTCTGTTTGGTTGCCAGATAGCGATACTATACAGCAACATTTCTGTTTCTGTTTCTGATTCTGGTTCTGGATCTGAATCAGCATTCGTATCTGGATCTGCCTTTGTATCCCCACGACCCCCCGAGGTCAAAGTGCAATAATAATTGAGCTGTTGTCGCTGACGGCAATAAACAAAAAGTGCAGCATACTTATGCGGGCTGGAAACGGGAAAACAATGAAGAAAAACAACAAAAGCGCCGAGGTCCGGAAAAACATTATCAGTGCCGGTGTTCCAAAAAACGCTTTTCAAATAAACAATTGAAAATAAAGCAAAAACAAAATGAATTACTTACATTTTTAAGTAATGTATTTTTTTGGTTGTTTACTAATTTTTTTTTTAATTTCTAGATAGCTTACACGAGAAACCCATTTTAATATTTTTATATAACAAATATATAAAACGCAGTGTTTTAAAGACCAAGTATATTTATAATGTAAATTTTTTTTTTATTTTCTAGTTGCTTAGTTCATTTCTGTATGAAAAATTATGAAAATATGTTTTTTCCATTTAACACTTTATATACAAAAAAACCATTTTAAAACATAATTTAATAACATGTTGAAGCTTAGCTTTCTGTAGGTATTTTCTAAAAATGTCCGAATAAATTGGAGAATATATAATCATAGTTCTAATACTTTTAAGAAATTCATTGTAATTTTTAGAGAATTTACTTGAAAGAACATCTTGCCATCGCACAAAAACACACCGTTTGCAATCCGAATTTCACTCGCAGTCCACATTAATTTTCCAGATTGACCAAATGAGCTGACAATGATCGGATTGAAAGCGTCGACTCTTTGAGGCAGGCATTGAAATCAAACCGAAAACCCACGAAACCCGCCGGCAACTGAATCCACTGAATACTGGAAACCAAAGAGGAGCCCTGAAATACCTTGTGCCCAGCTAGCAGCTGCAATAATGCACATTTCTGCTGAGGTCAGTTCGACCACCTCAAATCAAATACAGCAGCAGCAGCAGCAGCAGCAACACCAGCAGCAGCAGCAGCAACATCAGCAACACCAGCAACATCAGTCGCTGCAGCAGCAGCAGCAGCAACAACAGACAGCAACAACGACCACAACGAAGCGGCGAAATGCTGAGTCCTCTGCCAACAATAACAACAATTCCAGCACCACTAACAACAACAACAACAGCAACAATAATAACAACAACAGCACCACGAACAACAACAACAACAATAATAATAATGTTAAAACAAAGCCCGTGGACACGAGTCCTTATTTGACCCCCGAGAATCTCATCGAACGCACCGTCGACGTCCTGCTCGCCGAACATCCTGGCGAACTGGTCAAGACGGGATCACCACATGTGGTGGGTACACATAGTCCATAACAATATAGCATACACATAATCATATGCCATAAAAAAATATATACCATTTGTAGCGTACCAATAAATTTGTACGGTAATATCCTGAAATTTGCTCATTGATATTGCTTGATTTTGATATATTAGGTCTAAAGTGCAATAGCCAGACAACAAGTTTGATATTTCCTTTAGAATAACTTCCATTGCCTACGTTTCTAACATCTTAAAAATAATCACTAAAATTCCCTTATAAATTTATCAGTTCACTAACAGTTTTAACATATCCCCAACAGGTCTGCACCACTTTGCCCACGCACTGGCGCTCAAATAAAACGCTACCGATCGCCTTCAAGGTTTTGGCATTGGGCGAGGTCATGGATGGTACTATAGTCACCATTCGGGCTGGAAACGATGAGAACTTCTGCGGGGAACTGAGGAATTGTACGGCCGTGATGAAGAATCAGGTGGCCAAGTTCAACGATCTGCGATTTGTGGGCAGGAGTGGACGAGGTGAGTAAAGAAAACCTATATATCAAAAATAAATAATTAAATCTTTTAATAGCTTAAACTTTTCACAATCTTAAATTCCTGTTATTCGCTGCTATTATTTCGTACCCAGCTGTTTGTGAAACTATAAATAATATCAAGGGCAGATTGAAAAAAGTCTGGTTGGATCATTTATCTTTACTTTTTTTTTTACTTTTGGTCATTACCATTTGGCATATCATTCGCGTTGATTGCTTGCTTCCTGTTCAACGCATATTGTCACACCAAAAAGTACACCCCCTATGCAGCCAAAAGATATACCCAGAAATATACCCCGATATACACACACACACACACACACACATTTGCCCGTAATAAAGGACACATCAAAAGCCGCTGACAAACTTTTGTAGCCAGCTTCCGGGCGCTTGGTCCTTGGTTCTTGGTCCTTGGTCCTTAGTCCTTGGGGCCAGGCATCAACAAATAAGATAAGTAGTCTGTAGTTAATTTTTATATGTCTATTGGGGACGAGGGTCCAGGGGATAGGGGGCAAGGGGGCAAGGGGGCAAGGGGGGCCAGACGGCAGACAGTCTTGACAGTTGTCAATTTTGCTTGAGATTTTTTCTCGCCGCCGTTATTGCTGTTCATTTCGTCAATTTATCACGAACGCAATTTAAAAATCAAATCGAGGGTGACAGACAACATACTGTGATAGAATTTTGCCTTTGCCTTCAGTTTTTCCTATTTTCGCTTCTTTTCTCGTTTTTTTTTTTTTGTTGTTGGCAAATTAAATCAGCGTAACTGTTTATTCAAAGCCCCGGCAACTTTTACTTTTGCCCAAGTTATTTTGCTTGGGGATTTTTCAGGGCATGTCTAAGTGCGCGCTTTGCCGCGGCATTTGACAATTTGCTCATTAAGTTTGTCTGACCCCTCGAAAAAAAAGAGAAGAAAAAAACAATCGAGGGTGGTGGTGGTGGGTTAAGGTCTTCTGAACACCCTCATCAGCAACGTCTTCCAGCCATCCATCCAACCATTCATCCATTTCGGCCATCCTCTTGTTTGACATTTTTAAACGTTTCAAGTGGCAAATAATTCCTTGGGATTTACTTTGCCAAATCTTTTTTAAACATTTGATTATTCCAAGGACCTTTTTCCATACTAATTATCGGCAGGAAAAAGTAGGAAAAGTCGGCGAAAAAAAAAAGGTAAAGGAAGGAACAAGGAACAGGGCGTGACAATTGCCAAAGGGCAGCATCAAATGTTTTACAAATGGATTTAAATTATTTAACCCGAAACGGGAACCCTTTTTTTCGTTTCGTTTTTTTTTTTTTGTAGCGAACCCCTCTCGTTTTAATGCGCTACAAAAGGATTACGTGGGTGGAAGTCTCGCTTCGTATTATTTGCTTAATTTCAATTAGCAAACAAATGCAAATCCCTTGTACTAGGGAAAAGTAACGCAAAGCCTTCAATTGTAATTGTTGTCCGTTGTATTTGCCGTATTTGCTGTATTTGCTACAACTAATGCCACTTGCAGTTGTCAAGGCTGCAGACGCTCCAGCGCCCTTCGGTATGCAGCAATTTATGAGGGCCAGCATGGGTTAAATGGGACCGAGGCAGGGGGTTAAACGGGTCGTGGGGTGGCGTTGATGGTGATGGTGGTGGTGGTGGCTCGCACGAGGACAGCTCTATTGATAGTCCTGTAAAAGAGCCTTTCATTATCGCAATTGCTGGGGATACGCTCGCAATCGTGGGTGTTATGGGAATTTAAAGGGATTTTAAAAGGGAGAATCGGGCATGGAAATATCTGATGAGCCTTCAGGATTATATTTTTATATTTAACAAATTTTTCAAATTTCCCAAAATATTATATACCCTCCAGTGATTTAAAAGTACTGTAAATGTTTTTATATGCGTTTCTTTTGTTTATATTTATATACAATCAATTTGTGCTTAAAAGATCTTAATATATTTTTTGATTTCATTTTTAATTAAAATCAATATTTACTTTTTTATATGAGTATAGAACCAGGCATTATGTTTAGATTACAGTTATAATAAATATAAATATATAAGAATGACATTTATATTTCTTAATATTTTTTGCGCCAAAATGAAATGAGAATACGTGGAGTTAAATACATTTAAAAGGTATATTCTGATTCCACTCTATTATATTGATAATCCTTGGCACCCCCTCGCTTGTTCTTAAATGAAAACCAATTCTTTTTTCGCGTGCGTGAAGCACTCGTAATTTTAATGATATGGACCACGAGGCGTATGCGTAATGCCGTTGGGCGGGGGGCAACGCAATTAGATAAAATGGCGGCATCAGCAGCTGCAATCGCAATTGCAGCCGTGGAAATGTGAAAATGGGCAGTGTGGAAATGGGAGGCGGGGGAAATGGGAAATGGGGAAATGGAACTGCAGTTGCAGCCAAGCGGAAACTGCATAATCCACACCCACACAGATGCACCCGCTCCCACACACATGGCAAATGCATCGGGTTTGTTGTTGTCGACTAATGAATTACAATCACTTGGATGCCGTTTCGTCGAAAGAGAGATTTCTCTGCCGGGCAGCAGGGGGTTAAGGATTCGGTGGGTTAAGGATTCGGGGGGCTAAGGGTCCGGCACATGTAATTATTGTTGCCATATGCATGTAAATGAGAGCTGCACACTGATGTGCAAGCACTTTGAAGTGCATTACCAAAGTGCAGCGCATCATCTAAGCTGCAGATAATAAGTTAATTAACTGCAAGTGATTACCGCCTGCCTATTGCTCAGTTTAAACCCTTTCTCCCAAATGGAAATGGACCCAAGATCTCTGGAATTTTGGAGCATGCCATTAGTTGATTGTCAGCCAAGTATTCACTATCTGGAGTTTTGTCAAATGCATTACCTTATTGTTTTTCTGATCTTTAAAATTGGGAAATAAAATGCATTAAAGTATGATCAAAATATCAATTTCCAATATTTAATGTTTCAATAAACAGTATTGTTTATATTGAGCTTTTCTATTTGATCAGTTTAAGTCTTTAACGTTTGAAATGAATTAAATAAATTTCTTGTTTTCGATAAACTTTTATTTTTAAACCCTGAAAAAAGTATTGAAATGCTAGTAAGACAGATTGCGATGTGGTATTGCCTTAAAGATTTCTTCTCGCTTTCAATGAAAATAAACAGCAAACTAAAACATCAGCATTGCGAGAATAAATGCAGTCCTTACAGAAAAAAGTGCTCAGGTTGAAGTGAATATTCCAGTGGTCCGTTGTTCCTTTTCGGTTCCCCTTTGAGTTCCTGTATTCCCGAGTTCCGCTCCACAGTTTCTTTAAAGCTTCCGGCATCCATTAAAATTCATTAAAAATTAAATATTTGCCCCAGCGTTGCTAGTCAACAGCTGGAAAACTCGAAAACTGGCAAACGTACACTGGGCGCTTGTGGGATTAGGGGCGTGGCACTGCCTTCTTGAACTGGGACTGAGGAACCCTTTTCCAACTGACACGCATCAATTTACACAGCACTGTGCTCGAAAAATGCTTAAGACTTTTAATGAGATGAAGGTGAAATTTCATTATGAAGTTTGCCGCACTAAGATGAACTCCCCGCCACCCCCCTCCCCGTTTTTTAGCGGAGGGGGAGGGGGGGTGGCGGTGTGGTTGTGAGCGGTAACCTCGTTAAGCTTAATTAATAGCAGCAATGTGATAAACACCCAGGCCAACAGCCAAAATGGTCGCACTAAGGCCGCCATTTTGAACCAAGGCCTCCAATCGAAAACACTGCTCAAAAACTCGTAAAGTTCTTCTTCGATTTCATTTATTTTTATATTTAAACGTATCTTAATAAAAATAATACTTTAATTACCAAATAATATTTGTCATATATTGATATATATTGAAGAAAAAAAATCGTTTGCATCATTTTTTTAAGTTGACAATTAAAAGTGTATTGTAGTTATCGTAAAGTTCCTAAAAAGTGTTTAGAACAACACACTCAAACAAATTGTTTTTATAAAGGCAACATTTCAAAATTTGTATTATACCAAAAAAAAAATTTTTTTAAATGGTAATAACTATATTTTTTAAACACTTGTACATATTTTTAATATCCTAATATTTTTGAACAAAAATGTTAGGATTTATTTTTTTTCAGAAAACCATAATAAGGTTAAGATTAAATCTAAATATATTTATTGCAAGATAGCTTTAAGCTAAATTCAAAAACAAAATAAAATTGGGTGGTTTATCAAAGCAAAAAGCTTGATTAAACTACTACTCTTAGGTGAAATTTTTATAGATTTTTTTTTGTATCTGATTTTTCTCCGTGCACAAACCAACACACAGAAACATTTTGCCCAGGTGTCAGCTACAGTCCCAAAAGGCAGCAACACAAACAAAATCGACTGGGACAAGTTCGTTTTTTAATGAGCCAACGTCAACGTTGCCAACTCGCTGCTGCCGTTGACATTTGACAGATTTCCTAGGAGCTGCCGCTTAGATACTTTTTTTTTTGTTGGGGGCGGGGCAGTGGCAGTTTCTACTTATTTAGGCATTAGTCGTAGACACCCAAAGCCACCCCAAGAAGTCCCAACCCCCCAACCCCCCCGGCCACCCAATGACCTCGCTCGCCGGGTGTTTATATAGACTTTGGCAAAGATTCTTTCAGTCGACAGGCGGCATCGTTAGGGGAATTATAGTTGAATGAATTTCAACCTTGGCTACCCCTATTAACCTGCCATCCAGCACATTTTGGGGCATCTTAAATTCCAGTTAGCGCTTTTACTCAGTGCTCGAAGTATAAGTCTCAAGTCAGGACTTTCTTATAATTTAAAAAGTGATACATCTTAATATACAAATTTTAGTTTGGATAGAAATTGATTAAATGAATGTTAATTTAAAATATATGAAATACAAACAATAACACAAACTAAACATTAAAGCTCAAATTCAAATAAAAGTACCAGAAATTGATTCAAAAATATGATAAGATTCGTGTTTAAAAAATAATATTAAGAAAAAATAATATTAA